ATCATACCTTCGTCAAAAGAGATTACTTTTCCGAGGCGATATCCACGGCGAAACGTTTTCTCAACAGCTTGCAGTAGAGGTCGAACTTTTTAGGCCGTATCCACAAGCACTCCACCTTGTTCATTGTTGTTGAAGCGAAGAAACTTCAAGATCGCTACGAAGCGATCACGCTTCATGTAGCGCGAGAACGTTCCTCGTGGAACAGCACCATCTTCATCGGTAGACAAATGTTTGGCAAGTCCATCTCGAATCGGTGCTATTGCGCGAGCAAAGAGTAATGCTACGACGTGTACGATCTCATGGGGCTGTATATCCTTGAACTTCTTCAGGCCTTCTCAATATCCGCCAAATCAGGAACACTGATGCGAGGATCCTTGGCCTGCCGAGCCAGCAACTTGTTCCTACGTGACGTGGCAATGACGGTGATATTCTGGGTTCTGTATCTGTTCGTCGCTTTGGCGATATGACTCCATAGTTCCTTTGGTAAGAGGTAAAAGAACATCCCCAATGGAGAATCTGCGTACGCAACTGCAGAACGCGTAGGCCCAAATTCCCCGTCATAATAGTCCGCAGTCGCATCAACTTGAAAATCCTCTACATTGTTGCAAATATGTCATATACAGATTTAGTTTATATGCGTTTTAAGTTATTATGTGCTATCAGGGCTTACCGCTGTGGTCTTCGTCATACGTCACCCATCCATTCCCAGCGATATCACGTAAGTCATCTTCCGTAAACCCCAACAGCAGAGACGTCTTCAGTCATTGGGACATCTTCAACATCGTTGGCACCTTCTAGAGAAGACGTAGTCCCCTCATTGTCTTCCAATATCCCATCATCATCTGCATCTGAATCGGAATCGCAGAAGTCAGCGCTATCCACCAAGTTCACATCGTCATCATCTGTCGGGCCAAACAGCGGCTTCTTTCGGAGACTCTCCATGAAGTTATTCCTGTTGAACACGTCCAAATCTACGAAGTTTTCAGTTTCGTTCAGATCGTCGCTCTCAGTTTTGCCTTCTTCTTCATCTGTCGCGTTCTCCCTGGGATGCAATTTTGTATCATCCTGAACAACATCATCTGCTCCATCACCTTGTTCTGTAGCATCTGTCATACCGGCTGGTTCTGTCGCTTGAGATTCAACTACTTTCGTGATAACCGCCGCCGTATGCGTATCATCAGGTGCTGAACCGAGGGAAGCCGGCAAAGAAACAGTCGCGACCAATTCTCAACTCGCAGTTGTGGCCGGCGCCACTGAAGCCTGGTTTGTCGTGGGGGATGGAACGCATGGGGGGTCAATACCGATGGCTGCATAAGCTGCTTGCTTACCAATGGGTCGTCGGACGACAGCCCCCACTGATGCGCTGGAAGGTTGGTGGTCCAGGAGGCCTGAGAGACGATCAAACGCCATAAGATCCTTCTCACCTGGTTCAAAGCAGACATTAGTACACCGAAAATTATTAGCTACAATCACATCCACCCACATTCAAAGAAGTCTGATCCGCGTCGCGATTCATCGAGGCGGCCCTTGATTCCTGGCTTTACGTAGCGGTGGTCTTTAGCGATACTGGTGGACTTACGAGCTTTCCATCCTTCCTTGCACAGGTCACGCCACAGCTGCGTGAAAGACTTCTCTCCAGAACCGTTCATCTTTTCGAATGGGGAAAGATGGAGTGGCTGACACGCGATTGCGTGGGCTGTCACCTCAATTTTTAATCCTTATACTCGTCTTTCTATGCCAACACGCTAATCCCCGGCTATCTACCCAGCGCAGATCTATTAGGAGCGGTCGACTGATCAGCACACATACAAAATAATAGATGCGAGATTCGACAGCGCAGTCAACATTTCTGGATATTAAATACTGCGAAAACTCTTATTCTGTAGTATACAGAATACCGTTCTAGAAGGGTTAAGCAACTTAAGCATAGTAATTGTGCAACTTCACTTTTAACTCGGTCTTCAGGTGCTCCTTCGATCACGTTCCACGGCAGTACGCATATCAGTCGCGCACTGTGCGTTCGCTCGCCTCGGCCATTTCCATTGCCTGCACCTGAGAGAGCCCCGTAGTCCAGACCAAGAGGAGGCGGACGGCCCGGTGTAGCTTTAGCTTGGCATCGTTGAAGAATGAACAGGTCAGCATGCCAATGAGTTGCTCCTTTACATCGGTATGCTTAGTCCTGCGAGAGCATCGCCAGCGCTTTCGGACCAAAGATGGCTTCATGAGGCTTCCGCAGCTTGGGCATCGCTTCTGCTTGTCTATCTGACCCACGTCCATACACCAGCGGGCGCAGGTCTCATCGTCTCACGTCACCTCCATCACTTCAGAGAGGACGAAGAGGCCTTCGTCCTCTACGTGGTACAAGTACGGTGTCTGCATAGTGAAGCTTGGGGCGGGGCTTGGGGCGGTACTTGATAGTCTTGGGCGCAAAATGCGTTGTGAGGGCAATTACATTGGCGGTTTAAAGTCCAGTGGGCTTATTTTTCATTTGAATACTAAAAACAAGTCAGTTACAGCATGGCGATCATCCGTTTTGGCGCCAAAAGTGGGCGTGTTCTGCTGAAAATGTTCACACAATGTTTACATAACATTTGCTGAATGTACGAATTTCGCTTTAAATTTTTCATTTCTATTTTTTTGTATTTCTAAACAGTGGGCGTGTTTTGCCGGTGAGCCGCTTATGCATTTTTGTGCTTGCCTTTCATTCTCACCTTGACTAAGTTATATTCCAGCTCCTCATTTTTATTTGGTTTATCTTTTCAGATTAAGGCCCCCAGTTTCTTGAGGTTGTTTAACTTAGAGTTCAACACAGTTTTTACTTGGTTGAATTGGGCAGTAGGCATCATTTGTGTTTGCATTGTCGATTTGACGTTTTCGTGTGTGTAGTGTATTTTCACTCCTTATTCCTTTTTCTTTAGGATTGTCAGTAGTGCCAGCGGCTCAGTGGCTCGCTTGGACTTTGATTTCTCTTCTCTAGTTTTCTTTGTAAACAATATGTAGCAACGTGACGACATTTTCGTCCATTGTTGTGAAGCTGAGTACGTTGCAATGGCTGAAGCTACAAAGGACTTGCTGTGGCTTGCAGGGCTCTGCCGATAACTCGCGTGGAAACCCGCACTACCTGTACTATTCGGAGATAACCAGGGAGCCATCTCTCTAACAACTAAACCCGCAAGCACAGCAAGCAAGAACACAGTGACAACAAATACCCCATGGTGCGGGGGGGGGGGGCGTGGACCAAAAACGGATAATTACGCAACAGAGGACATGGTGGCAGACATCATAACCAAACCAATTGTGGTGGTCAAGTTCTCTCGATTCCGAAAGATGCTGAAGGTACTGCCTATTGTGGCAGACAGTGACATGGCCGCCGCTATAAATGAGAAGGCTACATCTGCGTCAACTGCGATGCATGATACCCTGACTGCGTCACCTGCGATGCGGTCAAGTACGACGGATTAAGACATTACTGACGACGATGACATGTAGTATGCATGTGTGCTGACTGGTCGAACCAGTTTCGTGTGGCTGTACCACAACACTAGCATACAATCAACTGCGCTGGACTACGGACATATGCGATTCGAGTGGGAGACTATGCAGCTAGCAGATTACGGTGGTGGTGGCTTCATCGTACGACTATTCTCAGTGGTGTGTGTACGGATGAAGCGATGTGATCGCGTCGATTCGGCACTGCATCGCCGAGATCATGTGGGAGTGTGAGATGCTATCCTGCTACTGTGAGATGCTACTTGCTACAGTCTGCCAGTGTCCAATGCCAGACGTCATTGCCACAGCCCAAGACACTGGCAATACCAGTACTACCGATCCGACCTACAATCCTACGCGTGTCTATGTAGTTGTACTGCATCCCGGCGTACCGGTCTGCAACGCGCTCACGTGCGAGCTGCGTGCGGAAGATACCAAGGACTGTATGAAGGACGTACAGGGTGGCGGTGAGCAAGTGCCACTGCGTTGCAGGTGATGGTGAAATACTTAGCTTTCTATAGACTAGCTTAGGTTGAGTATGTGCTAACCTAACTTTGCGGAGCATGGAGGTTCAGGTGCTGGCAGCTCTCACTCTCACAACTGCTTTTGCTGTACTGCGCGCACAACGAGTGAGAGGCAGCAAGCACCAGAGCTCCGTGCTCCTGCCGTGGTACTTTGCCCGGCACTCACGTGTATTACATTCTAATTCCTATTGCTCTACGCCTACTGCCCTACAAGTCTGTGCCAATGGCACCTACTCTACGTAGTGATAGAAGGTCGGAGAGCCCAGTGACGCGCCATGCGTCATCTCACCTCTCCACGAGCACGCTCACTGAACTTGCTTGCTAGTAGCACGTGGCTACTGCGCAGTACGCAGTGCGCACCATGGACTCGAGGCAGCGCGACGCGTGGCGTCTCATCATTGGTTGGAAGTCTATGTGACACGCGTCTTTTTCCGACTAAGTACGCCAGAAATACAAAGGAGTTGAACCGGAAATCTATCCAGCGTTAGCGGTTTTTATCCCAATGATAATTATTAATACAGTAAAAACGAAAAGCTGCATCCAGAAGTGTAAAATTACACATGAACAAAAAAAACTTGAAAACTGAAAGAAATACACGCTCGCCAAAAGATAACTTTAGTTACTGAAATAACGCAAGACTTGGAATAGCGATTATCTAGATAAAATCTGAATAAATGACGGATAGATTACCGATCGATATTTCAATAATTTATTCCAGCCCTTCACTATTGCACTGGAATATATTTCTGGACGAAGAAAATTCTTATTCCAAAGCCTGAGTTGTTCCAAAAAATAAAGTTCTCTATGGCTCCGACGTGATATGCTATATTGAAGTCACAGCAATGCTGTAAGAAAGACTTATGTGCATTGACAATAATATTGTCTTTATTTTTTAAACATGTCTATGTGACACGCCTTTTCCCCGCTTAAATACGAGCGGAAATTCTCTCTTCTTCCTCATTCCAGAATCCATCGGCTCAAGGAGATATGGTGAAGCTCTTCTGCGCGATTGTTGGTGTTGCGGGAAGCGCATTCGAGGTGGACATAGATCAGACTGCGTCGGTTTCCGCGCTAAAGAAGGCGATCAAAGAGGAGAACGCATCGACGATCACATGCGACGCCAAGAACCTGCAGCTCTTCCTGGCGAAGGCGGGGGGCAACGCATGGCTGTCGAGCCTCACTGAAGATGTGAAGGAGCTGAAGAAGGGCGAGAAGACTGCTCTCGTCAAATCTCTAACGCAAGAAGAAAAGGAGCTGCAGGGAGAGGATCCGCTTTCTGAGTGTCTGGAAGACATGGACCCCCCGAAAGTGAAACAGATTCACGTGCTGGTGGTGGTTCCGGGTTTAGTTGCGAGCACTGTCACGATCGTCATTGAAGAAGCCGCTGGAAGTAAACCCATGAAAGAGCTGGACTACTATCAAAAGTGCGGGGCTAGCATTCGTAAAGAGTGCAGTGATTATTGCTGTGAGGTGCTGGACAAAATCGACGATATATATGACATGAATGAGCTCCCGCTTCCATTTATTTGTGTTGAAGGGTCGTCTGGCATGGGAAAATCGCAGCTCGCGTTCACGCTGCAAGGCTCACGACCGTGGTTTTACTGGCATGCCACCAGGGTAACTGACGCGTCACAGGCCATGTACAGGAATTTCAAGTCGATGTCGGAGGCATTTCGCAAGGTTGTGGAAATGGATGACCCAGTCGCCAAGCCGATGGAGGACATTTTGAACTGCCAATCAGGGATTTACCAGACCGTGGACCTGTGGACGTGTGGTTTTATTTCCTGCTTGCTGAAGTACTCCAAGCATCAGAGCGCACAAATGATACACCTCGAGCAGAAAATCGAATTCCGCGTAGAAATGCGCACCGCTCAAGATGTCTATAACGAGGTAAAAAAGATGAAGGAGGAGAACGGAAAGCAGTTGCCCTTTTTCATATTGGATGAAATGACACCCAACGCCAGGACATCTGTTGGAGGAAAGAGTGTGGCAGCTTTTCAACGCAATATCTTCCGCACTTGTGGTTTGGTGGTGATTGTTATGGGAACGGATTCAAAAATAAGCAATCTGGTTACGCAAGCAACAGGCAGCTCCACGGGAAAGCACATGTGGATGTCCGTTGTTCCCAAATTTCCTCCCTATCGATTTGTGTTCGATCCAAAGGATCAGCGAGATCAAGAGGTCTGGGAGGCGGCTGTGGATTGGTTTCCTGTTGTAGAATATATTGCGGTAAATTCGCGTGGGAGATTCACGAGGTCGTTCGTGGGTGAAATCGTAAAAGTTTTAAAGCGTGCTGCGAAACAAACAGGCGATGGTGAATACAGTACGACGGACCAGGTTTTAAAAGGCAGTACGACATTATCTGACCTTGATACAAGCCTGGCACTTTCACGTGTCGAGCTCTGGAATTTACTAGATGAAGCATTTGCCGGCGTCAGTAGAGGCTCACAAATAGGTGAGGTCGGAAAGGCGTTCATGGATGAGAAGGATGGAAGGTATGCACAACTCATGGCGATATCTTACACGAATGCTGAAGAAACTGATGAGGAACCGCCATTGAAAAAGCGAAGACTACTCGTTGGGGCCGAGAGCATGCATCTGCACTTCGCGAATTTGGTAGATGAAAAGGTTACCGATGTGATCATATCGAACGGTGAGTTGAATATGGAACCGCGGACAACCGGGCCATTGATACCCTGGGCACCACAATGCTGTTTTCCGCAGATGGACAAAGATGTGTTGCTGTATCTCGCGATTCTGGGCGGAAAGACGCATTCGGGCTACTATCAATATACCAGGGGGGGCGTGGCACACTCTACGAAATTCATTTTTTCTGAAACTGGTGCATTTCCGGTTCATGAAAACAAAAATGCCGTATCGAACGAGTACAAAACGTACGAGAACATGGTCGCTCATGCGCTGTTTTGCTCATCACGAAGGCATGGGGTGCAGGGAATTTCTTTCGATGATTTTCTTGAGTGCTTGGTTGGCGAATTTCGTGACAAAATTTGGGAGAAGGTGATTTTGAAGGATCTTAGTGGAGCAGTATGTCGTGCAACGGAATTGCTTGCAAGCTATGAGCAGAGAATCAGGGATTTGTCCACGAGGACCATGCCTTTTGTAGCTCCGCCGAATGCTGAATGGCCGCAGCCCATAATCGATATGAATGTCCGTGGGTGTGAGTTCGGTCATTTAATTCGCGCTCCGAATTCAGAAAGGTGTGATATTTTTCTGGATGATCTGGGAAACAGCAACGAACGCGCGATGTTTCTTTGCGAATGCAAGTATCGCGGGGACAATGTCGACATGGGTGTACTAAAGGGAATCGTTGCAGGTCTTAATCAGAAGTGGGACTGGAAGATCGGGATGCTTTTCTGCCCACAGCTAGCAAATGTTCGAGCATGGACTGTTCCTGACGTTGATTGCATGAAGATTGACTGTAAAACTGGGAATGTAAAGTGGGTGCATAGGCCAAATGCCGAGCGTGGTGCCCCGAAGGTGATCATCGTGATCGAAACGGGGCGTGGTGGTGGTGTGGTGGGCTAGCGTCGATTACGTAATCGTGTTCTTATCAATGATACGAATGGATAGTAAAACTAGCAACTAGTGACAACAACTAAATGAATACAGCAGTGGGTCAAAATTTAGTTAGTTGCCGACGTTTTCCGGGACCATACCGTCAGAATCACGAGATCGTTCATCATGGTGCATATATCGGTGTTTACTTTTTTGCGTGAGCTTAAATTACTAGTCAGCGTTTCCGTAATTTTGCTCTAAATATAGTGTCTATCCATGCAGCTTACTAATTGCTTAACCCTTCTACACCGGCATTACGGATAATACAGATTCACGTGCTGGTGGCGTTGCCTCCTGGGACAAGTAGTGCGCCTATTTCTGATGGGACGGACTTATGGCTGTCGAGATTTCAACATAGTGAAGTTGCAAAACTTACGCTACTGCCGACACGCGGAGATCTAAATGAATTTATCGGACAACCTCTCCCTGTAAAGATTGGGTTACCGCAGTCTGTATTTCAGGCTTGGTCGAGTCCATTGATACTAGGCCAACTCCTTCGAGATAAATTGTTCGAGCTAAACGACATTTCGCCGTGCGAATTTTTAAAAGATTCGGTGTTTAGCGCTGCGTTCCTGTACCCGCAGGTGGATGGGGATGCCACAGAGAGTGCATTTCATTATTTCTGGGATTCAATTATCCGTGTGGTGCTCGGGTTTGTGTTTAGGCGTGCTTACGTCAACCGGGATTCGAGCAGGAAATCCTCGTCAGGTTTGAAGCGACCCGACTTTTTGTTTGCTTTGGATCATATCTGTGTTTTTCGTGGTGAGGAGAAAGAACCTCGTACTTCTATCACTGTGCCTCGTGAGGAGCTCTCTAAAAAGCTGGTGTGGTCCTACGGTGGAGTGCCGTATGTGTTTGGCTATGCTGCGTCGGGCTTCGAGCTAGAATTATTTGCTATCTATCAAGACGTCACGGGCAACGTTAAAACCCACCTTATTGGAGGGTTTAACTTGCAGCATGCGCCGGAACGTTTTCGACTTGTACTGGCACTTCTAAATTTGTGTCTGCTTTTCCCGGCAATTGTGCAAAACTGTCCGGCCTCGGCAGGGACCGAGTTCATGGACATCCATCGCGCCAATGGCGTCAAGGTGCGGTTGAGTCCGATTTTCGTCGATAAGAACTTTCACACACAAGAAGAGTATCGTCGCGTGAAGCGGATCTACGATTCTTTGAAAGCTTATAGGATTCCTTGTGCCGATGCAGTTGTCACGGTGGATTCAGACCAATTGAGGTTGACACTTAAGCCCCGCGGCGTTGAGATGAAGCCATGCAGCTTGAGTGAACTGTTCGTCGCGCTCGGGAACGTTCTCGAGGCCCTTGTAGTCCTCCATCGCAACGGGTGGATGCACAGAGACATCCGTTGGTCTAACGTGATCAAGCATATCGACCGCGTTGAATGGTTTTTGATCGACTTCGCTGATGCAGCTCAAAGTCCGCAGAAATATCCCAGCGGCGATCACTTGACGCACGACGAACACGCTTCAGATATTTTTATGGAAGGTGGATCCCACACGACTGCGGTTGACTTATGGGCCGTGGGATACCTGGTGAAGACAAGTAAGATTGAACGGGAATGGACTGCGGAGCCCGAAAGAGCGCTTTTCCTGGATCGGTTGATGAACACAGACCCGAGTGCTCGGCCGACGGCAGACGAAGCCTTACAGCTTCTGTCACGTTTTGAACGTGAAGCTGCTGAGCAGGAATCACAGGGCAAGGGTGTGCGCAAGAAGCACAGACGTGCCTGAATTTTTGCATCGCTATGGCACTACCATTACGCGCTGGGACGAGGTACTATGGTACTAACAACAGGAGTAGTCGATGAATGAGCAACACACGTTTACTTCGAATGTATGAGAAATCTCGGTTGACGAGAGAAACTCGTTGACACTTGCAGCAGCTATCATGCGGTGCGAATGTGGCCACTGGTTGTCGGATACGCCCGCCTTCACGGCGGCCACCATGATACTATAGTCGGTTAAGTATACCATCGCAGCCTTCTCTATTAATCCCTGAACGCTGAAAATCGTCCCGGTCTGCATCGTCGCCGGCATGTTTGCGTTGAGGGGACGGTGCCAAAGTTGTCAATATCACTCATCGTAATTGTGCCGTAGACGGTGAGTTGAGTGGTAGAATGAAAAGCCGGTCTTTTGCATCTAAATAAGCTCGGAGCAGCGGGAACATCGTGGCACTTGCGCAAACGCCCGAACTTCTGCGTCCACGGACCAGAACGCCGACCACACGGCAGCGCTGTCAAACAACGCGCCGTCCACGTCCAGCTCGACCATCGCCAGCAGTGCTTTCCTCACCTTCCCGGCTCTCCACACCATCCACCCACTGCCGCCTCCCCGCTGTTACCGTTGCTGCTGTATCCGCCACCCGCACGCCGCCCTTCCACTGTCGCGAACGTCGCCACCCTTGCTCACCACCTCATTCACTCTGCTCCCTCACGCCTCTCCCACTCTAGCTCGCCACCGTCGCCACCAATGCCGCCACTCCACTCGCTCGCCGTCCGAACCATCTCTCTCTTTTTAAACTTAAAGTAAAAGTGCAAATTTAAAGAAATAAAAGCAATAATTTTAACAAGTACATGCAGTAAGGTTGTCTCCCCCCTAGAAGTAAAAACTAAACGACGGCACTACTGCCCATGTTTGAAACCATGATGAAATCCACGATAAATCATGGACATGCCCATGATCGGTCAGGTATTTTATTTTGCACCATACGGATCCAAATCCCCAACGCCTACCCTACAGTACCCCATTCTCCGGCTGAAGACGAGTGAACTATAAAGCGTGGCGCCGCCGCCGCCGCCGCTGAAGTCTGCCCCTCCGCTGAAAAAGCCCGCGCGCCCCGCGTAAGCTACCACAGCGATCCGTTGGGTTGTGTAAAGGAGCCGCCGCCAAAACCGTTCGTAACGGACCGATGGTTACGACGCGCAGTTTGAGTGCCAAAAGAACCCGCGAGAGCACGGAGGTCGACATGGACGTGGACCCTGACCAGGAAATGGACGTAAGCCAGGGCCAGGCCACCAGCAAAGCAGAGGACAACAAGGACGAGGAACGCGACGGTGATGGAGATGACAGTGAGGACGCTTCCAGTGCTGAAGACGACAGTGATGAAGTGGCGCCCGCCGATGATGATGCGTTGGACGAGACCAGCGGCGGCTCTCGCCATTACGGCGCTCGCAAACGTGCCAAGCAGGCGACGAGCGTTTGTTCAGACGAGTTGCTAGGCCGCGCAGAGGACAAGTCAGATAGCGCGGCAGAGTCTGACCCTGCGCGTCGACCTCCCGGCAACCACGTCAAGGTGGAGGTCCATGTTGACCCGCCTCAAACGTGGCATGCAAATTGGGACGCGTGGTTGGAATACCTTGAGGTGTACCAGGCCAAAACTCATCAGATGCTGCGGATCAGGGAGGTGCTCACCAACAAGACCAAGAACGAGCGCGTGCTGAAGACCAAACGCGGTAGCAGTGGGGCTGGTGTTGTACCTACGGAGCTCGATCCCTACTTCCGTGTGTACATATGTACACACGGATGGAAGCCCCGCAAGTCGCGAACGGCTGGGAAGGCTGGCAAACGTGCTCGCCGCCAGGTCCGCACGACTGAATGTCCGCTGCGGTTCGTCGTGCAGTGGTGTGAGCAGGGCACCGGCTGGAATCTCCGTGTTCAAAACGGCGTATGGGTTCACAACCACCCAGTGGGCCACGCAACATTCAGAACCTACCCGGAGCAGCGTGGGGTTGGTAACCCCAACCTGCAAGATCATGTGAATGGGATGCTGTCGGCCTGCGCGCGGCGTCGGAAGATCTACGCTTTCTTGGTGTCGAATGACCAGAGCATCATCAAGCGCGATGTTGACAACTTGGTGCAGAAGCATGCCGCTGGTGATTCGTCAATGGACGAAGACGATGCAGCTGCCAGTGGGCTTGGTGCATTTGCGGCAGCGGATCCCGAGAACCTCATAAGTGTGGATGAAACTCCTACAGGTAAGACAGGGGTGATCTCGTTGACGTCCAAGCACATGCGGCGCATGTACTATCGATTTAGCGAGTTCCTGATGATCGACTGTACGCACAAGACAAACAGGTAGTGTTCATGATTATCTATATCTGATCCATGATTAATCCATGACTGAGATTTACTGAGCGTGTGCTGATCAGTACCAACTACCAGCTCTGTACGTTCATGGTGGTGAATGACCACGGCGAGGGCGTCCCAGTACAGCACTCACTACTCGAGACCAACTCGGACTGGCACATGGACCGCGCGTGTGATCACTTCAAGCGCGCGCACCAAGGGCGCTTCAACATGCTGCGTGTGATCATGGTGGATAAGGATCTAAACGAGATCCGCATTTTGCGCAGCCACTTTCCTGAGGCCCAGATACTGATATGTGTGTTTCATGTGATCAAGTACCTGAAGGAGAAGCGGGCGAAACCCGAGTACCCCAAATTGTTGACACAAGACTCCTCTCAGATCGACGCGGCCATCCATAGTATGATTTACGCGCCCGGCAACGACGAGTACGAGCAACACAAGTCAGCACTGCAAGGTTTATGCTCCAGGATGGATATGGAGGCTTTCTACAATTACTTTGAGCGTAATTGGGACTCGTGCAAGGACATGTGGGTTCTGTGGCACCGCAACAAGCTTCCGCACTTCCGCGTACACACCAACAACCATCAGGAGAGTTGGTTTGGCAAGTTTAAGACCGGGGTCAAGAGCTCTACCAGGATGTCAGCGTGCATCGAGGCACTAGTGGAATCCGATATGCTGGAGGAGAACGAGTATCGCCACCAGCACGATAAGGTCGGTCGTTTTGTCAACTCTAACTACGACAAAGAGATGGCAATGGTGCTGCGTTTCACCACCCACCATGCAGCCAAAGCAGTGGAGCCTC